ACACCAGAGATGGAGGCAGAGATGAGGACATGGAGAGAGAGAGCAGCTGAGGACTCTAAATTCACGGGAAGAGAGGGACTGGGTGCTGGTGGCCAGGAGGCAAGCTTGAAGAATATGCCAACTAGTTTTTTATATTATTATGTATTCCTGAGTGTTTAAAAAGAAAAAGAGCTAAAATGAATAGAAAAATACTGTTATCTGATGGTACATGGAGGGGATTATAAGCATTGTAATGAAACAAGGTGTATGATTTGTTGAATTGATCTGCCCTGTAAACTTTCACTCAACTCACAATAAAAAAACTTTAAAAAAATAAATACTATTTCATACTCACTAGGATGACTGGACTGCTAACAACAAGGCCAGCAGTTCAATCCCACCAGCCATTCCTTAGAAACCCTATATAGGTTCGCAATGAGTTGGCACTGACCTGACAGCACTTAAAAACAACAAAGGATGCTATTATGTAAAAAACAGAAAATTAACAGTACTATGGAGAATATGGAGAAATTGAAACTCTCATAAATTGCTGGTGGGAATGAAAATGATCTTGCTGCTGTTTATATGGAAAGTTTTTTTGCAAATCCTACTATTTTTATTTCTTCCAAATATGAAATGATTTAAGCAGCAGAATTTTTCCATAGATATTAGCTTTCCCTGAAGCTAAATATTCCTACTTATAATATCTTCTTAAACCCAGAACAGCTTCCTGAACATCACCCAACTTGTGCATATTAAATATGCACACTAAGTGGAAAACATACACAGAGAGAGAAGTGCTGCCACTTGAGTCACCAGACTCTAAAGGGACTTCCTCCTCTAGACACAGCACTGACCTTGAAATCTTTGAGTGAGCTCTTTCTCAGTCTCATCAAATACAGCTGCTCAGACATTGTTGAAGAAGTCTTTCAAGTAATCCAGAGCATCTTTGATTCCAATATGGTCACTGAAAATAAGGGCATATTTCTGTTTAAAATGAAAATTGAGTTTCAACATAGTTCTAATGTACAATATAACATTTTTAATTCAATTATCTCTGCTTACCATGAGACTAATTTTGAAGATATATTTCCTCAAATATATTTCTATTTTCAGTTTTTAGAGCTGAATGGTCTCTAAAGGTTCTATAATAATTTCTTTGACCCAAACCCTATAGATATTGTAAAAATCTCAGTTACCTAGCATCATTAATTAATTAAGGAGCTCTTGTAGCAGAGTGGTTACGAGTTGGG